GTATACATACATATACACACATATATATGGTAAACCCCTAAATATACATATACATATATATATGTCTACATAGCGTGTGGGCTTGGAAGGGTGTGTACACAAGTGTGCACATATGTGTCCAAATCTTTCAAGATGTGTGTGTAGCTTCTGCCTATGAGAGTGTGTATCTGTGTTTATATATTATATATATGCGTGTATGCGTGGTGGGGTGTGTACGTATGTGTGTATGTCTCAAGATCGTCGTGTGAGTATTTGTGCCTTGGTCTATTCAAATCCTGCGGAGTGTCCCATGCAGAAGCGGCTCAAGGAACAAATCGCCCAGAAGCGCACAGGCACACATGTGTACACACATGTGTACACGCAGATACATGCACACAATATTATCTATGAACATACGCATATGTGGTATATTACACGCCTTAGGAGACACACGGATACATACACACACTACTATATATGAACACATGCATATGTGCATGTTTTTATCAATCAGGTGCCTTTTACGGTTACTAATTTTACGATTACTCCAATCAGGTGCCTTTTACGATCACCAATTTTACGTTTTTGTCATTCAGGTGCCTTTTACCATTCTTAATTGTACGATTCCTAATTTTACGTTTATTCCAATCAGGTGCCTTTTACTAATTTCGGCGGCTACATCTGCTCCATGACTGATCTGGGTACAAGTCTGCAGAAAACCCACAAGCAACTGAAGGTATGTATTACCCAACCCACACGGCCTCACAGACAGACACTCTATTTCTACCTACCTGCAGATGTAGGCCTCTACCTTACCTACCTGCACATATACGCTCGCATCCCCATGGACATACGTACCTACATCTCATATGTGCTAATTCCTCTGTACACAGCATCTATATGTGGTCATATAACCGTCCCCCCATCTCACACCTCCCCTGCGCGTGTCTCCATACGCGATTCCTTGGTGTACTACCACAGACGGTGTGTCGGCTGTGCTACCGTCTCATACGCCACGTGCAACAGGACTATCGCAAGAACCAAGAGCATGTGGCCCACTGGTTTGGGTTTATGCAGAGCCAAATAGGCTACGACATACTAGCAGAGGATACCATCACCGCACTACTCAACAACAACAAGAAGCTTCTGGAAGCCAATATCAAGGAGAAGGTAGGGTTCGTGTGCGGGTGGGTCTGATAGGGTCCGGGGGGGTGGGGGGGGGGGGTTGGCTGGGGTGTGGTTTGGTTGGTGTGTGTGGTGTGTGTACAGGTCGGTCGAAACTCTAAAATCCTAGAACCCTAGAGAAGTGCTGAGTATACTCTGGCAGAGGGCCACTATCGCATTTGCCAACTAGCAGCAACACGAGGGTAGAAGTGGAGTTTATGGCAGAGAGTAATCATAGAGAGTTATATAGGGTGTAAGTATTAGGGTTTTGAGGTTTTAGGGTTTTAGAGACTTAGGTATGGTTAGCATGGGGAGGTATGTGTATGTTAGGGTGTTCGATGTGACTTAGGTATGGGTTTGTATGATTTTAGGGTTTTAGTGTCTGAGTGACGTAGATATGGCTGTAGGGTTTTAGGGGTTAAGGTTTTAGGGTTGAGTGAAGTAGAAGTGACTCTGTAGGGATTTATGGATTTAGAGTTTTTGGGTCTGAGTGATTTGGCTATGGCTCTGTAGGATTTTAGGGTTTTAGAGTTCTAGCGGTTGAGTGACGTAGATATGACTCTGTAGGGGGTTAGGGTTTTAGGGTCTGAGTGACTTGGGTATGGCTCTGTAGGGTTTTAGGGTTTTAGGGGTTGAGTGACGTAGATATGACTCTGTAGGAGTTTAGGGTTTTATGAATTTAGGGGTTTAATAGTTGAGTGACGTAGGTATGGCTTTGTAGGTATGCAATAGCTCAATAGAATGTGTTGTACTGTCATCGAAAACCATCTCAGTCCTGCTGAATATTAAGGAGAAGCTTCTAGCAGCGACTGTCCAAAAAAAGGGTTTGTAAACGCCCCGAGCATTCCGAGTGGCTATGTTAATTAGGTCTCACATGGTGTATGTGTATTGTGTTAATTAGGTCTCATACACTGTGATATTTGCAGCCGGTCTAGTGGGCTGTAAGGCTTAAATGTGCACTGAACCAGACAGGCACCTACTAGGTGTATATTTAATACAATCTACCCAGTGCATATGTAATATAATCGGAATATGGTGTATTGTGATTGGATTCGCGGAAGAGAGATTAGGATCCACTCTCAGTGTCATCGGTTTGTGAGCTGGAGAAGTGGGTGACCAGCCGGAGGTGTTCAATGAATTTGGCATATTCTACATCAAAACGATCCAATAAATAATCGCCATTTTATATTTCGTTCAGGAAATTAGTACGGTTGTGGATCCAATCAATAATCGCCATGTTATACTTCCCACAGGAAATTAGTACGTTTGTGGATCTGTTACGACAGAAACGCAAGGCACCGGACATCCGCTATCTGACTGATCTGTGCGAGTCTCACGGGAAGGCGATTGCACTCACACAGGAGATCATCTGTAGTCAGGTAAGCACTATCCACACCCACCCACTCGCCCAGTGTTTTAGAGATTTAGGGATTTAGGGTTTAGGGTTTGTGAATGTTTATGAAAATATTGGGAAGGTCATCACACTTGTATTTTAGTTTAGTGTAGAGTGTATATATAGATAAACATAGTGACGTGAATGTGTATACTAATCGGGTCTATTCTATCTGTGAATTGTGATCTCTGGAAATGAATGTAAAGTGTATATATACACTCGTCTGTGTACATATGTATATGTGCACACACACGGATGCAATATCATATCATATCTATATCCATTGAATATTGTATTTCTATTAGTATTATTATCATTAATATTGTATTTCTATTAATATTGTTATCATTAATATTGTATATCTGTTCATGTTAGTATGCTCAATATTATTCTTATTTTAATAAATAACAACATTATTATTATTAGTATTGTTATTATAACCATTTATGTACGCTCAACTAGGGATACGGTTATGTTCAAGACCGCAAGCGTGGAGGATAGGACTGTATGGGTCAATCGAGTGCACTTACAGGCACAAACATACACACACACAGGCAAACACACACACACACATACACAGACATACACACACACACACACAAACATACACACAACACATACACAAACATACACACACACATACACAAACATACACACACACATAAACAAACATACACACACTTACACACAAACATACACACACACATGCATAAACATACACACACGTACACAAACATACACACACTCACACAGACATAGACACACATGCACCAACATACACACACACATACACAAACATACACACACATATACACAAACATACACACACTCACACAGACATAGACACACATACACACTCATAGACACACATACACACTCTCACATACACAATTACACACACACATACACACATACACAATCACACACACATGCACATGCAAATAACTCAAAAGCACGCACAGATACACCAATAGGTAATAAACGTCAAACTACATAACTCAAGTACTCTTACACAAAAGTAAGTACCACTTCATAGCCACATAAGATGAAATTGTTGACATGATTGTGGTACACACACACACACACATACGTGCACACGCACAGGCACATGCACAGGCACACAGGCACACGCACGCACACGCACACACACACACACAAGTATACATCTAAATGCACCATTCGAATATACATGCATATAAATCGAATTTACTATTATATTCATCCAAGGTGCTCTCAAGCAAGAACAAGGACATCTTTATGACCACACGGCTGAAAAATGGGACTGTGTGGGTCAATTGGGTGGACCACGATGGAGCGGCTAGGCGAGAGACTCTCAGAGACTTCTGTGTCAATTCTAAGACATCTCCCGCGGACATGTACGTTTGTATTAGTATTTGGATGTGTATGTGGGTATAACAGTGGATATGTATGTGTATGTGTGGGTGAGTGTTTATGTGTGTTTGTATGTGGATGAGTATGAGTATGTGTATGTGTATGTGTATAAGAATGGTATATGTATATGAATATGTATATATATATGCATATGTATACGTATTTGTACATGTACATGTATACGTTTATGTATGTATATGTAATGTGTATGTGTATGTGTATTGTATATGTATATGTATATGTATATGTATATGTATATGTATATGTATATGTATATGTATATGTATATGTATATGTATATGTATATGTATATGTATATGTATATGTATATGTATATGTATATGTATATGTATATGTATATGTATATGTATATGTATATGTATATGTATATGTATATGTATATGTATATGTATATGTATATGTATATGTATATGTACATATATCTGTACAGTACATATATGCGTGTATGTGTATAAATAAAAGCAGGGGCACTTGCCAAGCCAGCCTCTGCAGCAGAATAGCTTGGCATTGGAAAAGTCGGCGTTGATGGATGGTGACTATCATCTATTGGATAACAGCTTATGCTGATTGAAGCATGAGTAACTCCGCCGAAATTCATACATTCCGCAGAACTTCTCTGCACCTCCAGTCTGACAAACGCCTTCAAACTATTACCACTGCCCGTGAATCTACTTCCATTCTGACTCAAAATCTCGGTTTTGATACAAATATGTCGCACAATTCCTAACCGGGCTCCCGGGTGTGCGCGAGAAAAACAATGAAACCACCAAAAAGAGAAGAGGCGCGGTTTTTGTTTTTATAAGTCACACTCTGCGGCTGGTATCCCATAATACATATACACACTGTATACCTCTGTCTTCTTAACTTACTACTTTACCCTCTTGTATAGTTCCGCGAGAGCTTGACATAGACAACACGTACAGACAATAGTTACATTTCCCGGGACTGTGCTTATGCCCCTTTGTCCTTTCGACTGTAATCAATCATATGCAATTTTTTTGATGACGCAGAACTCGAGAGGAGATAGTCGGTCGCCGCTCGACGACGACTTTGTGCTAAATGACGACATTGTCTGTACACACGGTCGCTTGTTTCCGCAGTGTGACACTCCTAAAGTCTTGCCCATAGAGGTACAAACTATGTATATATATATAATATATATATATATATATATATGATATATAT